AAACACACCCAAGATAAGTTACTTTGTACAGACCAAAGGTCACCTTTATGTTATTTGATATGGTAACGTGTGTGCTCGTGAGCCACATCGTTGTAGCTTCTGTACTGCTAGCCAGGCATGGATGAAAGGTCAATATAATAAAAATAATAAATATATATATATAAATGTTACGAGATTTAAGCTACTTAGTCTAAACATTTATGTTTTCATGTTATAATTTGTGTTCATTTTAGAATGAAAGAGGCATAATTTATGTTTATTTCCTAATTTTTTATACTAGTTGCAAGATTGGTCAAATTTACTGAACCTGTACAGAGATTCATTACTGAAAATAACAGATAAAATATAAAGTTTTTTCTTGGAAATGTTTGATAACTATCTGGACATTATAAAGATTTCGCATGTGAAGTTTCAAAATTGTCTGATGCATAAAAGTATTTTTAATCTTAAAATGAAAATTACTTTGCATGATAGATAGGCAAGATGTGAAAAGAAAAAAATGCATGAAAGAAACATTGCTTTACAAACCTTAAGACTTAATAAAAAAAATTAGATATTTTATGTATGAAAGCATTGTAATGTTTACTGATAAACTGCCAAATTTCGTTAACATTCGATTAATAATTTAAAACTATAACAAGCACAAAATGGTTATGAGATCGGGTTAATAAACAAGGTGCAACAGAAACAAAAAGATTCCTAACTGGTTCATAACCAGATTCCTAACTGGTTCATAACCAGATATTTACTTATGCAAGTAGAATCACTCAAGTATGAATTAAAGAAGAATTTCTTTGCTTTGAATTCAAAAACATATATTGATTACATCTAAATAAGTAAATATTCAACACAAGCACATTAAAAAAATTTTAAATCATGCGACAAACAAAGAAACAATCTAAACAAATTAGTCTTTTTTTTTACTGAATATGTTTGAGGTTTTTTTCAACAGAATAAAATAGAAAAAGGTCGAAAATAAGTAAAGAAACAAGTTCTGTTTTCTTTTGTTTTTACTTCCTAGAAATTTTAAAATAGAATTTTGAAAACTTGAAAATAATCTCAGAAATTTACCTGACTGTTTTGATGGTTTTCTACCTGGGCCCTCCTGCAAATAGGTAGAAAAAAAAACTGAAAAAAATCTTTTGTTTTTTGCAACATAGCAAGTATCTAATGAAACAAAAATATAAGAATCACATTTAAATGGATTTGCAAGATATATATCAATATTTTACCCAACTGTTCATGGGGCCGGGTCCAATGGACAAAACTTATTTGTAGATGGAATAATTAATATAATTCTGAATTTATTCTATGTATCTACACATAATATGGCAAGTATTAACTTTTAAGTAAAATTTAAAAGCCTGTCGTTCACAAAAAAATTGTATGTCTAACAAAATTATTTGTGGTCAATATGTCTCTGAGAATTGATGACATCAACATGACCCAGACTCTGATCAGCCATAGTGCAAGGTGATGTTTAGGTGAAGAATAAAAATAACTTTGTTTACCATACACTTTGCATATTACATAATCTCTAGAATCTCCGAAATGTTTTTCTACATTTTTCCAACATTAATAATTCTGTACCTGATTTTACTTCTCTTTCTATCATGAACTTTTGCTAAATCTGTAATGTAGGGTGTAGGCTAAAATGAACAGTTGATAATTCTGACAACAAGTACAGATAATACCATATTGAATAACACTCCTTAAAGGTCGTGGCGTGCTCACTTTCGCCCACATCTGTGCACTAGGGTTAACACTTATCAAATACAATGCAATCTCCTGAAGCAATCTGAAGATGTACCATGTTTGTGTATGTATATAATGCTGTATAGAAACCGTTAAACATAAAAAATAACGTCCAACAGTGGAAGATGTAAACAGAAACATGCTATACCAAAACCCATCAGATGTAAACAGAAACATGCTATAACAAAACCCATCAGGTGTAAACAGAAACATGCTATAACAAAAACCCATCAGGTGTAAACAGAAACATGCTATAACAAAAACCCATCAGGTGTAAACAGAAACATGCTATAACAAAACCCATCAGATGTAAACAGAAACATGCTATAACAAAACCCATCAGATGTAAACAGAAACATGCTATAACAAAACCCATCAGATGTAAACTGAAACATGCTATAACAAAACCCATCACTCTTGATTCATATATATCTACCACAAGCAACTAAAAATAGATCCCTGTTTCTGAATCCTATACCTGCAGTTAAGAATGTACTGAAGCTACACCTTTCAACTCATATTTAAAAATGGAATATTAGCATCTAGGGCAAGATTTTCCATACTGCTATGAACAATTCAGGCAGGAAGGAATACAAGATTTTCTTGTACGGCTATGAATAATTCAGGCAGGAATACAAGATTTTCCTGTACTGCTATGAACAATTCAGGCAGGAATACAAGATTTTCCTGTACTGCTACAAACAATTCAGGCAGCAAGGAATACAAGATTTTCTTGTATGGCTACAAACAATTCAGACAGGAAGGAATACAAGATTTTCCCTACTGCTATGAACAATTCAGGCAGGAATACAAGATTTTCCTGTACTGCTACGAACAATACAGGCAGGAATACAAGATTTTCCTGTACTGCTACGAACAATTCAGGCAGGAATACAAGATTTTCCTTTAGTGCTACGAACAATTCAGGCAGGAATACAAGGTTTTCCTGTACTGCTACGAACAATTCAGGCAGGAATACAAGATTTTCCTGTACTGCTACGAACAATTCAGGCAGGAATACAAGATTTTCTTCTACTGCTACGAACATTTCAGGCAGGGATACAAGATTTTCTTGTACTGCTACGAACATTTCAGGCAGGAATACAAGATTTTCTTGTACTGCTACGAACATTTCAGGCAAGAATACAAGATTTTCTTGTACTGCTACAAACATTTCAGGCAGGGATACAAGATTTTCTTGTACTGCTACATTTCAGGCAGGGATACAAGATTTTCTTGTACTGCTACGAACATTTCAGGCAGGAATACAAGATTTTCTTGTACTGCTACAAACATTTCAGGCAGGGATACAAGATTTTCTTGTACTGCTACAAACATTTCAGGCAGGGATACAAGATTTTCTTGTACTGGTACAAACATTTCAGGCAGGAATACAAGATTTTCTTGTACTGCTACAAACATTTCAGGCAGGGATACAAGATTTTCTTGTACTGCTACAAACATTTCAGGCAGGGATACAAGATTTTCCTTGTACTGCTACGAACATTTCAGGTGGGGATTCCCGTCAACCACAAGCACTTTAAATATAAATACTTTGCACAGAACTTTATTATAAGCATGGTCTTTATTACAACTATGGTTTTTCTAAATTTGGTAACATAGCCAAAAACTAAATAAAACATAGTGTAACAGTTTGTACAAAAACCTGCACAGGTGACTAAATAAAACATAGTGTAACAGTTTGTACAAAAACCTGCACAGATGACTAAATAAAACATAGTGTAACAGTTTGTACAAAAACCTTCACAGGTGACTAAAAAAACATAGTGTAACAGTTTGTACAAAAACCTCTACAGATGACTAAATAAAACAGTTTAACAGTTTGTACAAAAACCTGCACAGATGACTAAATAAAACAGTGTAACAGTTTGTACAAAAACCTGCACAGATGACTAAATAAAACATAGTGTAACAGTTTGTACAAAAACCTGCACAGATGACTAAATAAAACATAGTGTAACAGTTTGTACAAAAACCTGCACAGATGACTAAATAAAACATAGTGTAACAGTTTGTACAAAAACCTTCACAGGTGACTAAATAAAATAGTGTAACAGTTTGTACAAAAACCTGCACAGGTGACTAAATAAAACATAGTGTAACAGCTTGTACAAAAACAGATGACTAAATTTAATAACAAACTGATACCATGATTTTGACCTTTAAATGACCTTAATCACACTAATCTTTAACGTACAATTAGATTCATAGTTCTGTTACTGGGAAACCTGAAACAATTGATTGAAAAAACAATAAAATAGCAATGATCTTTGGACTCATCTTAGTTTATAACCAGAACCAGAACTGAAAATCTCTAAATTATAAAATATTTGAAACAACAACATCTTGATCACTCACTATAGTATGGTACCTTCTATAACCACAACCTTGATCACTCACTTTAGTATGATACCTTCTATAACCACAACCTTGATCACTCACTTTAGTATGATACCTTCTTTAACCACAACCTTGATCACTCACTTTAGTATGATACCTTCTTTAACCACAACCTTGATCACTCACTTTAGTATGATACCTTCTATAACCACAACCTTGATCACTCACTTTAGTATGATACCTTCTATAACCACAACCTTGATCACTCACTATAGTACGATACCTTCTATAACCACAACCTTGATCACTCACTATAGTACGATACCTTCTATAACCACATACTTGATCACTCACTTTAGTATGGTACCTTCTATAACCACATACTTGATCACTCACTTTAGTATGATACCTTCTTTAGCCACAAACTCGATCACTCACTTTAGTATGATACCTTCTATAACCATGAACTTGATCACTCACTTTAGTACAATACCTTCTTTAATCACGAACCTGATCACTACTGAGATGTTTTAAAAACAGCTGATGAAAGTTGGTTGTAAAATATAAAAGTTTAGTATGTATAATGGCTAAAAAACTATTGAAACCATTTCAAATATATAACTCCAATAAAAATCATAGGGTTGTTCTTCCAATTGGTATATTTCACACCTTCACTACAGAAGACTCATTCTAAAAAAACCGAGATAAATAGCATTGAAAGATTACAAGGAAGTGATTACACAATCACAATGTCCATACGAATACGTCTGCATAGCCTTACAGTATAGAAAACCTTCAGTGAAAACTAGTTGTTTTTAAAGTTTGCAACACTTTAGCTTCTACTAGAAATGTGAAGATAACAGACACTTGACTAGAATAAAAACAACAATTATTAGTAATTTATCAAGCTAAGCCAAAGTTAATTGAATTTTCCATTTACTGGTTAGTTTCTGTTTCTAAAAACGATTGGTTAGGTTTACGACTTCGTTCTAGACTTCTTGAAACTTTGGAATGACTAGGGAAGAGGAGAAGGCGATATATAACGAAATCTTTGACGTCGTTTCTACAAAATGATACCATATTAAGTTTAATTTTACTACTGAGTCAGACTTAGCTATTTTTGTCTCACTTTTTTGTTTTAATGGTCCTGTCCATATTATAAGAGATCGCAAATTTTATGATGATAATAACTTATCAAGAACTAAGTAAAAGGAAAACAGATTTTTGAATTATCTTAAAATCATTTTCTAGACCAAATAAAACAGACCTCTATTTGTGTCTCAATATATCTTGTTTCTCCAAAAGAATTTTATAAAACTTAATATTACAATAATTTGAAGCAGTTACTTAAACAAATGCTTAAGCAAAATATTTTAAAATTAGAAAATAAATTTCTCTAAAACTAATTGTACGGTAATTCTGTTTTTTATTCAAAGTAGGGAACTACAGTAATTCAAGCTAAATTTCATCGATGTTCTTATCATTAACAGAATCTCATGCTTACCACTGTTAGTGGCTGAAGTTATCATCCAGTGACACAGTAAATATTTTACATTTAATGGCAATTCTTTGTAACTATAGCAACTTATAAACTTGTACATTTCTATAGAAACTATTATAGTTTTGTCAAAAAAAAATCCCAGTATAACACATAGTAAAACTACAAAACTATGAACCATATTCAAACACTTCTAAATCTGATTTTACATTTATCAAAATACTATTAAGTTCATGAAAACTATTTTATGTACAACAAAATTATAATTAATATACAAAATTTGTGTACATGTTGAGAATGTTTCTTTGAGTCATGACAAGTGTCTCACCTTCTAGCGAGTGTTTTAGATATTTCATCCATTAAGTTTACAGGAGCAGGGCGAGCTGGCTCACCATTTCCTCCTCCTTCAGAACTCTTTATATAAAAAATATCTGAGTTAGTCAGCTCACTATATCAGCATACACAAATAATACTTTGGACAAAAAAAATATACCATACTATACAAGAGCAGCTGAGTTATTTGGAGACACTGATCAAATGTGGAAACATTTTAAAGATTAATTTTTAAATATTCAATGTAAACATATCCCTAATACAAAGAAAAGGGTAGCTACAAGTAAAAAAAACCAGGTTGGCTCACAAAGAGTTTAAGAAATAAAATGATAGAAAAGCATCATAAATTTAAGAAATTTAAATTAACTGGTATGACAGGAGACTTAGAAGATTATAGAAGATC